ACTTTCAATCAATATACAGCCTGATGTTTTGGTTGGAGGCATAATTCAAATGAAAATGACCAACTTAGATGCTGCCATAACAAAAAATAAAATAAAATAAAATTAGCATACCATTTAAGGTGTCACGGTGTCATCAGCATCAAAATAGCTGTGCTATCTAATTTGGGGCAGGCACCTTCTCGTCGTTTTGCATATGTTCTTGTTCAGTCTCCCTCTTATATGCCAGCACTTGAGTTTCTACCTCTTTCTGCCCCGTTTAATGCTAAATTATGAAATAAAAAGCTCTTACTAGGTCTGTAATTTTCGAGAACTCGCACATTCGACTACCCTCCTACCTATTAGTTTTTATTTATCCCTCCGCTCAACCATTATAGACATTTTAACTTCTTAATTTTTTTTTTCAAATATTAATTTTAAATAAAAATCTAACATATTATAAAAATTATAAAAATAAAAAATAAAAAATTTTCTTTTAAGTTATATATGTAGTTATTGTTGAATAATTTGATTTAATTAAAATTTTTTAATTGTTAATTATTTATACATATATATTGTGTTAAATTTTCAATTAAAATTAATTTGCTTATAAGAATATCTTTTTTTTTTTTGGCTGATTAGAAAAAACTTGAACCAATATTTAAAAAAAATTACAATTTAGCTATTTGTAATTTGAGGTTAATGCATGTGAAAACTCAATGTTTAAAATGTGTATATGAGCACTTTAACTTTGTATTAAATACACATAACTGTATATAATTACATAAAATATCCTAAATACTCTCATTTAAATCCATGCTTAAATGTTGAAACTAGCAACACATAGCCATTGTCTGCCCTTGAAAGAAACCTGATGCGACCCTTTCGAGGCTTTTGCTTCCCGTATCACCCTCATCCCCACCAATCCTATTCCTCCACATCACCATAAACACCGACACCGGGTAGTCGCCTGTGGGGCTGCCACACATCACTCGTCGCCCTCAGCGGCATCGGCAACCTAAAACTTGCCCAACACATATTCATATGCTCCATACACTCTCATGTGCACATTGCCTACATTCATGTGTATCCTTTAATAATCTCTTTCCTTTGAAAGACTTCCATTCTCTCCAATACCCTTTACCGCTGCACGAAGAGAGAAGCGAAAGGGCACTTTGATGAAGCCTTTGAGATCTCGGAATCGTCGCCGGTGATGGAGAGGGGATGGAGACACAACGTGGAGATATCGCCCAACTGTCCGCGCTGTGGTTCGTCCAACACCAAGTTTTGTTATTACAATAATTACAGCTTGACTCAACCGCGGTATTTCTGCAAGGGGTGTAGGAGGTATTGGACTAAAGGTGGGTCCCTCAGGAACGTCCCCGTGGGCGGCGGCTGCCGGAAGAACAGAAGAGGTAAGGCGTTGGGGATCCCTGGTACTTCCGAAGGTGTTCCCCCTAGGACCACCATGGGTTGTGGGGTTGTCCCGAAGGATTCAACTGAGTGTCATTCTCATTCATATCCCTTGGCCGCTGCAGAGCAGTGTACTAGCACCTCCGGGACGTTGGATGGGTCTCACATCGATCTTGCGGCCGTTTACGCGAACTTCTTGAATCATCAACCGGAAAAGGGTGATAATAATAATGGTGTGGCCGTGGCAGGGTCATGTACAGGTCTTGAAATACCTGAATTACCTAACGAATTTGATCCATCTATGGAGTTTTCTCCCCTTCCCTTATCTGAGGAACAAATTGGTCTTGGTGGATGCATTTCGGTGAGCTCCAATATGTCCGTTGACAATTATTTGAGCAGCAATGATCGAATGTACTATTCTGGTTTGGAACCATCATCAGAGACGTCGAAGCCTAATTGTGAAGATCATCATAGAGGAAAACATACCGGCAGTACTTACGGTCATGAAACATACAGGACTTGCGGCGAACTACCGCCGTTATCCGGAGAAGATCATGGGATGTTGTGGTCGAATTCTCATCCAGAGAGTATGTTAAATCTGGCAACGCAAGACCCAAATCTATTGTTTGGTAATTGGAGTCCTTTTGATTTGTCTAGTGATGATACTTTTCCCAAGAGTTAAAAGAGCTTGAATAAAATCTACTTTTATTGTTTTGTTTTAATCTGGTTTGGTTTGATTTGGTTTGGCTTTCTTCTTAGTGTCGTCACAATATGTATAGAAGAGGGAGAGTTACAAATGAAATAACATTTGCTAGAATATGAGGAACAAGTAAACACATGCTCAAGAATTTATTAATTTACAACAAAATTTTGAGATTTTTTTTTTCTTGCATTTACAATCATGATGTTCCTAGGTCAAGCGTTCATGCACCTCATCATTTTTAGTCTTTCCTCAAGTTATTTTAAGGGCGCACTGTCTCTGTTTTTTTTTATTTTTTAAAGTTATTCTTAATTTGACAATAGTTATAGTAAATCACCTGTATTGATTTAATATATTTAAAAAAATTTATTTTCTTAACTACTACTCCTAAAACTTAAATTTTAAACCTACTGGAAATTGTTTAGATCTTGCTTTACATTTTCTTAGTACTAGCAATTATAGTAGTTGATTAGATGGCCAAAATAAATTTGTAGAAGTTAAGTGAGTGAACATCCATTATGTCTAACCCATGCCAAAGAATGGAAGAGGTCCAAAGGGATGGAAGAGGTCCAAACGGATGGAGAAGTTGCTGACAAAGTCTATCGAAATTGCAAAGAGGAATGTTACAGAAGCAAAATTTTACCCTTTTTTAAGTAATTGGAAATCAGTATCATTCAATAAAAGCGTAAATGGGATCTGAGCAAACCTCGATCAATGATACATCCATCGGAAGAAAAAGAAATAATATCTAAAGGGCCCATCCGATATAGAATCTGAACGAATGGTTTTAAGATAGATCAAACAGATGTATATGTATAATCAATCAAACTTCTGCAATTGTACGTAACTCATTGTTTAATGACCACCATGAGGAACCATGGATGTAGGCTCCTGCAACATAATCAGCATGGTTCTTTATCTGAGCCAAACATGGATTTTGAGATAACCGTGGAGGATTGAAGCTCTTCTCTACAGATTCCCACACATCATTACCTCTCCAGCAGGTCTTCATCTTGATGGCCCAGACATTGTTTTGCTAGTAAACAGAGGAGGATTAGAAAGAGAGCTTCCATGCATGGTTGTTTGAAGACATAGCTGCACTTTTGACTACATAACAAATTCCCTCACATACACTCTTGTTTCCACTCTTTCACAGGTCCTTCAAGAATATAACTCTAATAACACTTTGATGAAGATCAAAAGAAGATAAGCACAGAGAGCTCAATGGAAGAGGAAAACAGAGAAGAGAAGTTGAGGGAAAACATAGAAGACATAACCATACGACTTCATATGATATCATTTTACTGATATATGGAGCTTGCTTCTTATATTGTACAAACTTGGGTGGTTCTAATTATTATCTGCCAAAATACAAAAAGACAAATTGTATCACGTGGCTCCAATACGTTTAACATAATCAAACCATTACTTATTGAGTATCTAAGTAAAATTCATTCTTCCACTTGAGGAATTGTATAGTAATGTTGCTGTATTTTTTTGTTTTTGATTCTATTTCTTCTACTTTTAGCATTAATACTACATCTATAGAGTACAACAAATCGGTAATTTTTTTATTTTTATAAATATCATATGGAGTGTTTGTTGTCAAAAACAACAACAAAAAATAAAAAACAACATTACTAAACAAACCTTTAAGTAATGGATAATGATTGATATATTCTCTAATTTAATACACTTATTAAAAAATTATTATTTTTAAATTTGAATTTAAGGTGAAAAAATTTTCAAGTGCAAATTTTAATATTTGAACCAATAGCTGTTAATAGATGTATTAAACTAAAGACTATATCAATTATTTTTCTTAAATAATATACACTGAAATGTTTACACTTGCAAAATAATAATAATAATAATAAATTTAAAAACAAAAAATAAAAAACCTCTTCAGGTGGCAGCTCCTTTCAATTCAGTACTCTTCTAGATGATAGGACTAATGCCCTCAAAGATGGTTTGTTTCTTAATACCATTCCCCAAAATCAGCCATGGTAACCATTGCCACACAATTAATTGTTAAAATCACATAAAATATTATATGTGTGTTTGATTTATATGATTTTATCAATTAAAAATTATTTAGAATGTTTGAAAATATAAATTTATAAGTTGATTTCAAATTATTAAATAATAGATTTAGCTTTTCTATTGAATATCAACTAACAGTTATAGTTATTAATGACTACTTACAAGTAAATTAAATATAATTATAACTTTTTGAATAAATAAAAATTTTATTTCTTTTAGAGTACAAAAATACCCTTAGCCTTAAATACAAATACAATTTCTCAATAGAGAAACATTTAACAAAGCTTCTCCTAAGCACTTGAGTTTTGTAACCCGATAATTACATACCATATCGTAAAATACATCCTCCAATCTTAATGTTAGAGTTTTGAACCCTTTCCCCAAAACTGTAATATGTTTAAAAAAAAAAAAAAAGCTTCTCCTAAAATCCTGTTGAATAGGAGTTAACATAAACTTGTAGCTATTGACTATAGGCTCCTAGCACGAACTTTAGGAGCAGAACACATTGACTGAAGATAGTAGTAACATTGAAGGGCTGATTTTTTGTATTTGTTGTAAGGGTTTGAGTATCCATTGTACTCAATTTTTTCATCAAGGAATTATTCATTTGCTGTTCAAAAAAAAAAAGAACACATTGACTGAAGAAAAATGCTTAGGCACCCGATTTACTTTGAATCCATGCAGCTGACCCGTCTTATAACTGTTAACAACTAGTTGTGTGGCGATAATTAACCATGGGCCCATCGCCCCAAAAATTTGAAGAGTTCAATAGCAGCAAACACTAAATTCAATCTTCCCTAGTTAAAATAGACTGACTAGATTTGACTTAGAAATCAAGCCTCACATGATCCCAGAACGCCCATGATCCGAGGAGTTAATCCTCCGAAGGCAGATCAATCGTATTACCATAAACTTCTAGCAGCTTTGAAAAAAATTCACCAATCGACATTTCAAATACTGTTAAAAATATATGTACACACCAATAAACAAAAGGGGGATGGCTATGGATGTGGTTATGCCACACGGAACACCGTCTAACATAATAATTGAATATCTTTTAATTTAGGTTCTATGTGATAATATTTTTTAATTTTTAATTTTTAATTTTTATATTTTTATATTTTTTATTATTTTAAAATATATAAAATATTAATTAAAATTAATTTAATTATAATAATTTAATACTTTTAAAAGATATTATGTAAAAAAAACATTGTAAAAAAACAACGCACACCGAATGAAACCTACGACTCTTAATTAGTTATTCCTAACTTTCTAAAAATATTTATTAAATTTAACTTATTTTTATACTTTGATTAAGAAATAATCATTATCACCAATTATGCATACATGACTTTAGATATAACTTTTTTTTTTTCTTTTGTCATTCCTGCGAAGAAGATGGCTTCATTTGATAATTCCTCAGTCTATATAATAATATTGTAGTTCCGAATATCATAACCAATTTTATAAATAAAAACCTAAATTTCTGACCCAACAAACGGTTGCAATGGCTCGTCTTCCCCATGAATTCATATATGAATATTGCAAGAAGAATGTAACATAAGACAAAAAAGAAATATATATTAATGGATTGATCATCTGCTACGCTGCCT